TCTTTCTCCAGACTCAGCATTACAGAGACTGACACTGATGTAAGTGCAGTGGGATAAATTCACCTCTTAGCTGATACCAGATAACTTCCTGAGTGCTATTATAGCTGCAGGGGTTGGGTGATTCACAGGGGGCAGGTCTAGTGTCTATCTGCTCTGGGAACAGGTGAGCGGTGCCCACAGCTGCCTCTGTGGCCTCGAAGGCTGGGGCAGCTGAGAACTGGCCTGGCCGCTCAGCATCCGCAGAGGGTGGCCGTGTCAGAGAAACTTTCTCACAACATCCCTCACAGCTGGCTCTGAGCACGCTGGGTTGCATCTCCCCCGAGGGCCAAGGGCAGACTGGGCCATGGGGACGCAGCCCCTCCCACTCCTACCGCTGGTCTCACTCACAGATTCGGAATGTGCACCATTGGCACAAGAACTTCTGGCCAAACCTTTCATAATGGCCAGTGATTTTGAGAGTCTAACATGTCAGCCTATGGGGTGACAGTCAGACTGCACTGAGCCCCACCTGCTGGAACTCAGCCCCTTTTTGGTGGTGTAATTGGGGCCCCAAAATCACTAATCACTTTTGAAAATCGTGGCCTCTGTGATTAATGATAGGATAAACCCAGCACAGTATTTAACACTAATAGTGTATCTATCTATCCCCATGGACATCCTCTGTCTGTCTCTCTGTCACAGGTCTGTGCAGCTGACTCCTTTCAAGTCTCTGTTAAAGCACTAGTGCAGAGAGGAGCCTTAGTCATTCTCTTCTGTTTGCAGCCGTCTCTGTTCTTTCCAGGGGCTGTGCGGTGAGGCAGCTGGCAGGGTCTGTGAACAGGGAGAACTCTCTCTGGATGCTCTTGTTTCCCATATCAGCTGCACTTGCACCTCTAGGGAGGAGGGGGCAGGTTTGGGTGAGCTCCTTCCTTCACATCCCATTTTGCACAGTTCAGGATCCCGTCATCAACCTCCCCTTCACCTGCCCATGGGGGAGACGTTGCCTGCTCCTGTTCCTGTGGCCGGTGTGGGTTGGGGTCACTCCAAGTGAAAGCTCTGGAGCCATTTCTCTGTCACAAGAGAACTGACCCTCTTTCACGGGGCCTGATCCCAAGGCCAGTGAGATCAGTGGAGTCTTTCCATTGGCACCAAGGGACTTTGGATCAGGCCCAGTCAAGACAGCATTGGCTGAGTTACAATCAGTGCCAGGCTGCCACCCAAGGGTGCCAGCAGCTCAGCCTATGCCACAGCCCCTGGGTGATTCTGGGCTGGATCCACCACAGGGCTGTGAGCTCACAACAACAGATTTCTGGAAATGAGAGATTCTTTCAAACATTTACAATTTTTCCAAATTACCTATTAAAAATTCAATCTGTGGGGGATATTTGTAAACACAAAGATGGCAAATTAACAGAAAAATAAAGATTTGCATTTACATGACCTACTTTTTTTATAATTTTCAGACTTTGGATTTTCTCTCCCTCTATTTTTACCATTTTTGTCACCAAGAGAGAGGGAAAAATATTTTTCACAAAAGGTTTTGTAACAATCTTTTTTTAAAACTTGCCACAATTTTTTACCCTTTTCCCACTGATGTTTTCCAGGCACTGTTTAGGACAGGTAGCATCCATCTCTGTTCCTGTGACCCTCACCTGGGCATCTGAGCTCCCCCTGTACACCTTTGATCAGCTGTTCTACTGATCTGACTCCAGACCTGGAGTGAAATGTGCCCAGCCGCCATCCCAGGACAATCTGCTTCTGCATCAATTGCTCTGCAAAGCTGATCTCCAAAATTGCTTTACTTTGTGCTCCTGACACATTTCCCTGGAGGTACCTGGCTGCTAGGCTGCCCACAGATTCTTAACCTCTGTTCACCGGACTTTCTTTCTCTAATAAGGGTATGTCTATGCTACAGAGTTTTTCTGAAAAAACGTCACCTATGTCCACACTGTAATTGCGTTCTTTAAAAAAAATTCGAAAGAATAAACGGTTTTTTTCAACATTGGTAAACCTCTTTCTGCGAGGAAGAAGCTTTTTTTGCAAAAGAGCTCTTTTGGAAAATGGCATGTATGGACAGAGAAGAGGAAGTTCTTTTGTAAGAAGAGGAAAGAGGAAAAAGCTGGACTTTTTCCATTCTGATAGGTTCCCACAATCTCCTCCATGCTCCTGTCTCTGTGCCTCTTGCTGCCTGGTAAGTACATGGGGATCCTGGGCTAGTACCTAGCACGTTGGGAAGAAACACACCCAACAGTAGCCCCTGGGCCAGACTGCTGGCAAATTCCCATCAGCGTAAACACTGATTGTGAGAGCTGTTGAGCTAGATCCCCAGCTGGTGTAAATCAGTGTCACTCCACTGGAGTCAATGGTGATTCACATCAGATGAGCATCTGGCCCTCTAGAGAGCTGAAGGGAAAGGCAGCCCCAGTTCAGCCAAAGTCTGCCTGAGGGATCTGCCCCGCCCCGCCCCGCCCCGCCCCAGAGCTAAGTCCTGCATGGTTTGCTTCTTTGGCTGTCAGAGACAACTTTTGTCCGTCAAAATGGACATTAGAATAGAGGTAGATTTTATCTCCAGCACTAACCACATGGCACCTTTCTGTTCCCCGCTGAGTCCCAGCAGCCAGGAGATCTGATCAGCTCCTGGTGAGTCCCTCTGTCAGTCTGTCTGTCTGTCCCCAATCTGCCCATGGCATTTACCCCTCCCCATACAGGATGTCCTATCAGGACCATTCAGGCTGCTCTCTGCTCAGTGTGGAGCCAGGAGAAACAACATGGGAAGGGGAGCAGGACTCTGAGATCAGAGCAGGTCTCCTGTTGATCCCTCTCTGCCCTGCTGCCTCTCAGCTCTGCTCTGGTCCATAGCCAGCGTGAGAGGTGCATGGCAGCACCACCTCCACAGCCCCTCTCACCCAGGGCACTGGGCCTGGAAAGCAGAGATCGCCTGGCTCTTAGCCAAGGGGATTTTGCTTCTCACAGCGCCAGCTCCCAGGTCTCTGCCCTGGAGCTCACCCCCATAGGGACTCAGCCTTCACCTCATCCTTAAATGCCAGCAGCACCATGAATAGCCAGCCCTGGGCAGGCAGACAACATTTCAGAAGATAGGGCGAGAAAGAACCATTAACCAGACTGAGCTCCAGTGACCTGCATCCAGCCCTATGAAGGCTGGTTTGGCTGAGATGTGGCTAATGGGCATGGCCAGCCATGGTTCTTTGCTGGCTGCCTGGGCAGTAGGGGCAGGGGATGCTGCCGGACAAGGCACCGCAGGGACAGGGAAGGTGCCAGGCAGATATTGACCTGCCCAGCAGCAGCAGCAGCAGCAATTCTCCTGCGAGTTCAGAGCTGGATCCTATTGCCCTGGCGGTTCCCAAGAAAGGGGGATTCTCTCCCAGCCACTGCTGCAGGGCCTGGAACTGCCTCTGTTGCCCCCTGAGCCAGCTGGAGAGTTGGGGCAAGTGGGGAACAAGGGTAGGGAGGTTATTAAAACAGACATCAAAGGGGTAGGAAACTGGACACAGCCCCTTGGCTGTCAGATGGCAAGGTCCCTAGGGCAGCGACTGGCCATCACTGCATGGAATGGTAGGGCAGGCCGCGATGTTGACTGTTCCCTAGACAGCCCACAATCACCAAGGGTTGGCCATGCTGAGGGGTCTTCTGTCTCCCAGCGGTACTGCCCCAGCTGAGTCAGTCAGAGGCCTGCACTGGGGACCCAGCCCAGCTGAGCCTACAGGCTCTTTCATAACAGAAACCATCCCAGAAATAAAATCTTCTAGTCACCAGAGAGAGCTCGTCCCCCTTCTGCCCAGCTGGGCTGGGATCAGAGCCTCCATCTGAGAGATGGCAAAGCCCCCCTGATTTGTACCTCCAGCTCCACTGACAGCACCAGGCACCACCTGCACCCTACTGACAGTTCTGACCCGTTCCTCTTGCCAGGTGCTCTCCGCACCCCCATCCTCTACCTCAGCCAGACGTCGGCACAGCCGGGGGACACCGTGCGGCTCCAGTGCTCTGTGCTCTCCCAGTTCCTAGCCACCCGCGTCCTCTTCTGCAAGGGCGGGGAGGAGGTTTCACCCAGAAGGGCTTGGAGGAGAAGATCACATACGACTATGACCATGTGGTGTCCGGGGGAAGCTCTGGGAATTACTCCTGTGGGTACGAGATCAAGGACAGGAACAAACAGGTGACCAGATCTCAGCTCAGCCCTGCCCAGCACCTCAGCGGTAAGGATGTTTTGGAGGGGGGAGGGGGGGGCAGGTGTGTGTGCCAGACAGTTGGGAGATGGGGATATCCTAAAATGTCAGGCTCAAAGACCCCTGAAAATGGTATCACGTCCATACCCCTGCACTGAGGCAGGATCAAGTAACCCTGGACAAGCCCCATCAGGGTTTTGTTCCTTCTGTTTTGAAATGTCTGCAGTGACAGGGGGTCCCCAACCTTCCTTAGACACCTGTTCCAGAGCTTCACTAAAAAGCTTTTCCTGCCATCTCACCTAATCCTGCCTTACTGCAGATTAAGCCTGTTACTGCTTGTCCTACCTGCAGAGAACAATTCATCCCGGCCCTCTTTGTTACAGCCCTGAGCTTCTTTGGAGACTGTTTTCAGGTTCCCCCTTTGGGCTTCTGTTCTCGACAGTAACCATGACTCATATTCCTAACCTTTCCACCTAGCTCAGAGTTGCTAAACCTTTGATCGGTTTTGTTGTTCTCCTCTGGACTCTCTCCAATTTGTTGACCACTTTGCTAAAGTGTCCCACCCAGAAGTGGCCTTTCTACTCCAGCTGAGGCCTCATCAGTGCTGAGCAAAGCAGAACAGGAACCTCCTGTGTTTTACATACAATGTAGGTTGGCCCTTTGCACAACTCTCTCCCATGGCTGACTCAGATCCAGTTTGTGACCCACCCTGAGTCCAGAGCCCTTCCAGCAGCTGGGCCCCCAGCCAGTGAAGACCCATGGTTAGTTGTGCTAGGACAGTGTATCAGCCTGGAGAGGGTCATGGCCTGCTTTGATCTCTTGTGTGTTTATTGTCTAGGTAATGAGCTCAGCAGCAGCGGTGTTGGAGGCACCTCCCTGCCAGGTAAATGCTTCTCATGTGTTTCTTTAAACAGGGAGGCTACGTCTAGACTGGCATGATTTTCCAGAAATGCTTTTAACGGAAAAGTTTTCTGTTAAAAGCATTTTCGGAAAAGAGCATCTAGATTGGCCACGGACGCTTTTCTACAAAAAGCGTCCGTGCCAATCTTGACGTGCTTTTGCGCAAAAAAGCCCTGATTGCCATTTTCGCGATTGGGGCTTTTTTGCGCAAAACAAATCTCAGCTGTCTACACTGGCCCTTTTGCACAAAAGTTTTGCTCAAAAGGGACTTTTGCCAAAACGGGAGCAGCATAGTATTTCCGCAAAAAGCACTGATTTCTTACAGTAGGAAGTCAGTGCTTTTGTGGAAATTCAAGCGGCCAGTGTAGACAGCTGGCAAGTTTTTCCGGAAAAGAGTCTAGACACAGCTGGACAGTGTTGCCTGTAAGCTGGGCTCTTGTGTGACTGCCCTGCAGATTAGCAGAGTGCCCACAGCTAGGTTTTGTTTCTCCTGTGGTGCACATTAAGGTATGAGAATGTGCACATAATAAATTATTCCACACATAGATGGAAAAGACTAGAGGGGACATTGGTCCTGGCCAGTGCTCCCCCAGCCTGAGTGTGATCACTGTGATGATGGCTCTTGTGTCTTTGTTGCTTAGGTGATGATTCGAGCAGCGGTGGTGCTGGACATTCCCCCACACAAGGTAAATCCTTCTGATGCGTTATTCAGGGGACTGTATTTAGGGAAAGGTTCCCTGAGCCCCTCTGCTACCCTGGCAGTCAGTGAATTGTTTCCACCCGCTGCACTCTCTGAGCCTGTCGTATTTCTAGTTGCTCTGGCAGGAGGCAACAGATGCATCATAACAGGATTTGTCTCTCCGTGTCATTAGCTAGTCATGCTCTGTGTGCTAAGCCTGGCCCAGTGTCACACCTGGCATGTGGGCAAACCCCTCTGCCAGGAATCTCAGCCCAGTACCAGTGTCTGGTTCCCAGGCAGCAACTGAGCCCCAAGGACTGACTTCAGCAGAGCGCAAACCTGCCTGTTTGTTCAGCACCCCCCAAAGAATATGCATCAGCAAACCCCTACCTAGCATGTCGGAAAGGGATCCCTGCAGTGGTTGCAGGGCAAGGAAAAGATGGAGTCAGATGGTGTGTAACAGCGCCACCTAGTGCCCCTTCTGGGGTGATAATGCAGCAATGTCTAGAGTTTTTCCAGGATGCCTACCATAACCAGTTTCTGAAAAAGCGAGTGTGTTCTTTCAGAAGCCCTGTATTCCTCATTTTGTGAGGAATAAGGGATCTTCCGAAAGAGGAAGTTTTTCCCACATTTGGCCCCGTGTAGAAGATGACCACAGTGTAGACATAGCCTTAGAGAGACAAGATGTGCACCTTTTTCCGAAAAAGAACTGCAGTGTAGACATAGCCGTGGATTCTATAGAATCTCATCAAAAGGGTTTGATTTTTGAAGAATCTGCATTTTTTCTAATGGGAAAACTCTTCCGCTGGGAATTTTTTGACAAGCTCTGCACATGTCTCGGCACTCATGCAGGTCTGTGGCCCCAATCCAGGAAATGAACATGTGCTCCAGTCTATCCCTATCCAGGACAACACCTCTGTACCAGCTTCACTTTAAGCTCCTGCTGCAGTCCCATTGTTGGCTATTTGAAGTTAAATTTGTACCTGGGCACTGTAATCAATTGTGATCCTTCCCTGAAACAGGGCAGTTCCCACAGGAATGTTTCCTGCCTCCAGGAGCTCAGTTATAGCTGGGGGGAAATCCAGGGTTTTTTTGCCATTAAAAACTTGTGAATGAAACTATTTCATTGTTTTTAGGGTGCCATCAGACTCCCTGTTGTTTTAGGTGAAAAAGACCGCCATGACTATCTGTCAGAGGCCCCTCAAAACTTGCTATAGAAAATTCCAGTGATTTGTTGAAAAATTTAATTTGGCCTCATGTTGACTTGATAGTTTCTTTGAGGAGGAAAGGATTAGAACCAAAGCGAGACAAAACTGTTAATTACAAACAGTGGGATACATTTTTTTTTCATTTAAAAGTAAATGGATGTTTCTTTCCACTTCTGGATTTTGAAAATGAAAATGACACAAAACTGCCAATTCAAAACAAAACAAACTGGAATCTCGCATTTCAGAATTATTTTTGTGGAAAGAGGAATTGTTTGGGAGGAAGACTTTTATTTTAGTGAAACTGGATTAAACAAAAAGTTTGGCAAAAAATATGGATAAACTTCAGCAACTGTTCTCACAAAGAACATCCAATAATGCCACTGTGCAGATAAGCGGAAGGTGATCTCCCCAGGGAAATTCATGATGACAGGAGAGGTCAGTTATCATGAGAATCATTCAGCTCCAGCCAATAGGGATTGATCTGTGGCTGCCTGGAGAGGCCATTCACAGCAAGGTTCTTTTCTAGGGCTGGATCTAAAGCTCCTGTTGGGAATTACAGTCCCTGCCTTCCTGGTGCTGGCTGTGGTGCTTTATCTGCTGGGAAGGAAAGGTGGGTATGAGAGTGAGGCCAAGCCATGTTAGCAAATGTACAGACAGATGTGGCAGAGACAACCCCTTAAATACCCTGTCTGGGATGTGGGGAGAGAGATGATCAAAGATGTAGTGCAATGGATCATTTGTTTTCAGGAGGTTTCCTGGGACATAGATCAAAGTTGATGAAATGGATTATCCTTGTGAGTAGTAATTTGTATTTCAGTAGCACTTTGAGCCCCAGTCAGGGATCAGAGCCCCACTGTGTTAGGTGCTGTACATTATTTATTAGGTATGTTTCTGTAGTATCCTACAGCCCAAATTAAGAATCAGGACCGCTCTGCATCCAGTGCCACATGGACCAACCCCAGTCTCATAGATGTTCCCAATCAAGGACTCTGCCAGGGGTGTGTGTCTGGATGGAATATCCACATGCAGGTCACTAAGGCTTCAGGTCAGGGAGACATCCCCTAGCCAGGAAGGGCCCTTGTGCCCATGCCTGTGTGTAAGAGCTTTCCTTCAGAGTTCACTAGGGCCTAGTGAACACACAGCTCTGGGCACAGCTCTGCCCTGCAGCCTTCCTCACATTGACCCAGCCCCCAGCTCTCACAGCCTCCAGTCACCCGACCATCTCAAGAGTGACTCAGAACTCATGGGATTGCCAACAAGACGTAAATAGGGGCATTTTGAATTTGCCCTGGAAGCCTTTGAGTCACAATTTCAAGATTTTCACCCCAAACGTGAAAGTTATAAACTTCTGAAGCATGTGACTCTCAAATCTGGGGCTTTATGTGGAACATCAAACACCATCAGACTGACTAAAGTCAGATGTGACCATACCAGAGCCAAGGGCAGTCAGTGGGGCTGGTGGAGGGGCGTGCTGGGTGGCTATTTGTGAGGGTGGGACTTTGTGTCAAAACCATGGTATGCTCACATCTGGAACACTGCATACAGATGTTGTCGCTTCATCTCAAAAAGATGGAAAACATTCAGAAAAGGGCAACAAAAATGATGAGGAGTTTGGAACGGGTTCCATATGAAGAGATATTTAAAAGACTTGGACTTTTCAGCTTAGAAAAGAGGAGACTGGGGGAAGGGGGGATATGATAGAGGTCTATAAAATCATGACTGGCATGGGAAAAGTGAATAAGGAAAAGTTATTTACTTAGTCCCACAATATAAGAACTCGGGGTCATCAAATGAAATTAATAGGTCGAAAATTTAAAACAAACAAAAGGAAATTTTTCTTCACCCAGTGCACAGTCAACCTGTGGAACTCCTTGCCAGAGGATGTGATGAAGGCTAGAACTATAACAGGGATCAAAAAAGAGCTAGACAGATTCATAGAGGTTAGGTCCATCAATGGCTATCGGCAGGGCTTGACAAATACACTCACCCGCTCACCTGTGGCGAGTAGATTTTACAAGCTGGAGAGTGCAGGGGCGGACTGGCCTAGTGGGTCGTTGTGATGGGATTGCCGAAGCCCGCACTACAGGCAGTGTGGCCCCATCCGATCCGCCAGCCGGTGGAGGAGCAGAGCGCTGTAGGGGATGGGAAGTGCGGTGATTCTCAGCGCCAGGCTGCCTGTGTGCAGCTCCATCATGAGGAGGTGAGGCGCAAGCCAGAGGATGGGACGCCGGCAGACGCCAGGACACTGGCATGACGTGGTGTCCTGACGTCACGGCTGGCAACTGCTGGATTAAAAAAGGCTCCGACAATCCCACAAAGTGGAAGGCAGGAGCCGGCTGCAGCTGCGGCTGTGGGGGAAGGGAAGGGAAGGAGAAAAATATGGGAAGGGGCTTGTGCTGAGGGGAGGGGAGGAGGTCAGGAGAAGAAGAAGAAAAAAGGGGAAGGCACCAAGGGACAGGGGTGCAGGAGAGACAAATGCCAGGGGGCCAAGTGCAGATAATGAGGAAAAGGATAGATGGGGAGGTGTCAGTGGGAGGGGGGACAGGGTGCTGGGAAAGGAGAGGGGAAGGGCATTGGGGGCAGGAGGTGGGAGGGGGAGGTGCTAAGAGAAGGCTTGAAAGAAGGGTTGGGCATGAGGAAGGTGCGGATAGAGCAAGGCATGTGTGAGGGCACATGGGCTTGAGGGTGGGGAGGGGGTGGGTATCGGGGGGGAAAAGAGGGCAAAGGGGGCAGGGGCAGTGAGGGAAGGGGGAGGCACCGGGAAGGTGCAGGTGCCTGGGGATGAAGCAGAAGGGCAGACACCTGCAGGGGATGGACCAGTACCGGAGGAGAGAGGCAGGGCAGGTGTGTAGAGGGAGGTATTAGGAGAGGGGATGAGGAGGGGTAGCTCATATGATCAGAGTGGGGCTACTGGAGGAGTGGGCACAGGAGGGAGAGAAGGGCTG